GAGGTTCCTCACGACGAAGCCGTCGTTGGTGCATGGTCTGACCGACCCTTGTTCCATAGCCAGTTGGAACTCATCGACCTGCACTTCCAGCACGACCACGAACCGGGTCAACAGAAGTTTGACCTCATCTTCCCGACCGGCGTTATCAGTAACACACATGATTGTGCCCTCAGCCGAAACACGATGGGCCTGCTCCTTGTGCTTCGACCGTTGGTACATCGGCCCCGGAATGGGATCCGTGTCGGAAAGCTGGTATTGCATCCTGACCGACCGGGCAGTTCAGAACTAAGGACGACCTACACTACTGCATCCTCGCTGGTCATGATAAATGAACTGAAACACAGCAGCAAGGCACCTGCGACCGACACCAGCGATAGCCTTATAGACAGCGACCGATGGGGAGAAATAGGCCTGGACGTCGGGAACTGGGTTCCAGAGCCAGTGCTCCCACTGGTCGACCGACAGTCCGACATAACCTGTCTTGGCCATAGCGACGGGGAGTGGGGCCGGCAAGTCTCGTGAAGCTGAAATTGCTTTGTGGCATGGCAGGCATCATAGACATAGACCGACTGTGACTGTGCCCAACAACTGCAGGTAACCAATGAGGACCAGGCCAACCGGCACCCGCTGATCAGACATCATAGAGCTGGAGTCCAGTTCTATGGTGTCTGACCAGATGGTGATGGTAGGCGGCCGACCTTGGCAAATATGAATCATGAAGTCATAGCTAGTTACAGTATCCAAAGCACGCTGCCCACGCATGTGTCTGAGAACACCACCGGCAAGGAAAGTAGATCTGCTTCTGTCTGGACCTCAATACTTAAGGTGACTGGGATCTCAAATTGGCATGGACCTGTTACTGCTACAGGAGCCCGACCTCCCAGAGCATCCAAGGAGCTCCTCAACCCTTCGTCGGCGCCACTCAGCCAGTCGTAGTCGACTGGCTGAGCGGTGCCGACGAAGGGTTGAGGACACCTGTCGATAGCTCTCCTCGACCGGCAACACTTCCTGACCAGGTGTTGCTAAGTCAATCATTACAGCAGTGTCCAGCATTATTGAATGCTGATCGACACTGAGGCCTGTACCCTGAGCCATGAAGATTTACATTGGGTGGTCTGGGAGGTGATAGACCTTGAGCGAACACACACATAACACTTTCGAAAGTACACTGCCCACGCATGTGTCTGAGAACACCACCGGCAAAGAAAGTAGATCTGCTTCTGCCTGGACCTCAATACTTAAGGTGACTGGGATCTCAAATTGGCATGGACCTGTTACTGCTACAGGAGCCCGACCTCCCAGAGCATCCAAGGAGCTCCTCAACCCTTCGTCGGCGCCACTCAGCCAGTCGTAGTCGACTGGCTGAGCGGTGCCGACGAAGGGTTGAGGACACCTGTCGATAGCTCTCCTCGACCGGCAACACTTCCTGACCAGGTGTTGCTAAGTCAATCATTACAGCAGTGTCCAGCATTATTGAATGCTGACCGACTCTGAGGCCTGTACCCTGAGCCATGAAGATTTAGATTGGGTGGTCTGGGAGGTGAGAGACCTGGACTGAAAATTTCAATCCAGGTCTATGCCTCCCAGAGCACCCGAGGAGCTCGACCGGCAACACTTCCTGACCAGGTGTCGCCAAGATGTGGCAGAGAAGCTTTATGGATCAATCGGAGCACCTTGGCTTAAATATATATATATATATATATGCTGCAAGATAGTGACTGTCACTATCACTAGAGCCGATGTATTTAAGCCAAAACTGTGTGATGCTATGGGCAGGGACCGGCCAAGTAGTCTTACTCTGACCAGACCAGAGATCCTGGTAAGTTCATTCGTGTCTTTTTTGTGTAATACAGCATACCTTTTACTATTTTATGATTTGTATACCTCACATATGGTTGTGCAGCATCACCACACCTGAACTGCACCTGAACTGCACCAATCTATAATAGCACGAACGCTGAACTGCACCTGAACTGCACCTCAACTGCACCAGCATTATCCATGTTCATGGTTTCCCCCAGAAAGAATAAACAGAACAGACCGGCTAGTAGACCTTCTTGAATAATTAATTCCTACTAAGGGATATAGGTAAACTTATAGGGCTCTGTCTATTATTTCTAAAAAGGACAAGCGTGAACTGCACTGGAACCTTTGTGAATCAAAGCATCAAACTCAGCAGTCCTCCTGGACTGTGTCAGACCGTCGCTCAGCCGAGGCCATTGGGGGATCTTGTCATTTTGACGAGATCCCCCGATGGCCTCGGCTAGCCTGGCTCAAGGTGCCAAACAATGCATCTTGACTTGGCTCTGTGATCCTCAGATGAAACGTTGACTTAGTGCTGGACGACCGACTCGTCGCCGGGCCGGCCTGCCACGTCGGTGGTCTGTCCATCGGTCTGATTTATTTATGATTACACCTCACGAATCCGCCTCATGCGTGACACTGACCGGCCCCATGTGAAGCTCTCGCCTTGGAGCAAAAAGTAGACAGGTAAATACCGGAACACCCACTGCATCCAGGGATGTGGCAGGTCATGAAGATGTTGCCGAAAGCCTGTCCACGGGAAAATGCATCATTGCTGTAAACAAATGAGGTGGCACCCATGATGCATGAGCTGCACTTGTTTTGCC